GATCGACTCGCGTTCCCGCTGCAGCGCTGGCGTCATTTCCCGTGCCATGCCACGGCATGCAATGCAATGCTCAGTTGATATTACGCTTTGCGGTGCTCTTCTAAGACATGCCACGCCGTGCTCTACAAGGCATCGCGTACCCTTTCGGGATCATTGCCCTGCTCGACATCCGACTGTGCGAGTAGAGACGGAATCCGCGCCATGGTATGGGATGGGAGGGAGGGGTAGGATATCAGATATGACGCGAACGCACCTAGCTTGACCTACCCCCTCCCTCTTCGTCTTGGGGAGCGTTTTTTTACGTTCGGCGATGACGGGCGTCATGGGGGGGGTCGGGGGGGGTATGACGTAACGCCCCCCCCCCCCCGTGTGGCTCCGGCACCACAGCCGCGCCCGCGCGAACGACGCGACAAGCGACGAACGACGAGCGGCGACGGCGACGACGACGAGGACGACGCGAGCAAAATGTAGGTGGCGATATGCCCCACGGCGTCTGTGTACACATCGCTCGCGTGCACCACAACGCGCGCGAACACCACAACATCTGCGCACACCGCAAGAACCGTGTGCACCGCAGCGCCTGTGTACACCACAGTGGTTGCGTACACTACAGCGCCGGTGTACACGTGTACACCGCAACAACCATGTGCAACAGAGCGCCTGTGTACACCACAGTGCTTGCGTGCACCGCAACGCCTATGCACGCCACAGCGCCTGTCTACACCACAGCATCCGCGTGCAACGCAGCGCGACTGTACACCAGCGCCCGCGTGCAGGACAGTGTTGATAATCGAGTGCGACGTTCTTCCCTCTTCCCTCTTCCTCCATCTCCACCTCCACCTCCACATCCTTCAGGCCCCCGAGAAGAAAGACTGTCTCATCGTGGCGATCGATTCCGATCACGTGCTCGGCCGCAAGTGGATCCCGATGCTGCGCGCGGCCATCCTGGACATGACAAAGTTGTTGAACCAGTTGAAGAAGCGAACGCGACTACCCCTGCTGATGGCGTGAACATTCAACCTTCAGAAGTACGGCCTCCACATGTGCCGTACCAACCTTCTGATGTACGGCCTCCATCAGCACTTCATGAGAGTGCCCGCCTTCGTGAGCTGATCGCGCAAGGACGCGTACCGCCCGATGTGCTACGAGATAGGACTGCGCCCACCCCTCTTCCATTCCCTACGGCCTACGGCCCCTCTCTTCCGCCCGTCCCCACGGTTCTTTTAAGGCCGACGCCCAGGGGACGTGGACGAGGAGGAGGCGGAAGGAGAGGAGGTGGTCGTGGGCATTCCCAGGGAAGATAAGTTTTTCCGTGGGTTTTTCTCTAGCGGTCCCCGTCCTGTGTATACGTCTCTCGGGCCCCCCCGAGGTACGTAACCCTGCCACTCCCCTCCCCTCGACCTAGCAGTGCGGCCTCTGGCCCTTGTGGCTCCGTACTGTTGGGTTTCGGGAGTAGGGTGGGGGGGCTACGGGCTTCTCGCCTTTATGAGGGGGCGCCTGAGGCTAGGTGTAATTCATCGGTCCCCAGGGGGCGCCCCCACGGCTGCGTGCCTCGAGGGGGGGATGCCCCTAATGGGGCAGTGCGGCCCTGCCCGAGCGCAGGGGCCGCCAAGGAAGGTCGACGTCTCACAATGCCACGCCACTCAGAGTTCCATGCGTAGCACGATACAGGGTTTCACACGCCTCGGTCGAGTTGACACGCGAACCGATCCCGATCCCGATCCCGATCCTCCTGCTCCTCTTCCTTCTCCTTGCCCCCTGTCGTGTGGGGTGGCGCTACAGCGCACGTGCGCAATTCAGCGCGCAGTGCACCGCAGAATGGTCGATTGAATCGGTCCACTTGGTTCTCGCACGGCCGATTTAGCTGGACCTCCTGGACGCAGATGGGAGAAGTTAGGGTGATGCGGGCGTATTCCAGCGGCGCTCCTTTATCCTTGAGGATTCCTTTGTTTTGTTTTCTATGGAATCCACAGGCGTTCCATTTTGTCATACGGATTCCTTCTAACATTCGATATGCACCTGTGGCGCTGTGTTGCACACGGTTGCTGTGGTGCACACTGGCGCCGTGGTGTACACAGGCACTGCAATGCACGCAGGCATTCCGGTGTACACCGGTGCTGTGATGCACGCGGTTGATGGGGTGCACGCAGGCGCTGCGGTGTACAAAACAGCTGTTGTGCCCGCGATCACGGTGGCACAAGCTGACGCTGTGTTGCACGCGGCTGTCGTGGTGTACATACGCGGTGTGGAGTACACAGGCGCTGTGGTGCACGCAGGCACTGTGGAGTACACAGGCGTTGTGGTGCAAATCGCGACCTACATGTTGGTGCTACCCGTCTTCCGTCATTCCTAAGCATTCCCAGACGCCGCTTGCGCGAAACATTGTCATCGAACCCCTTCCACACCCTCTCATATGATTGCCGTGATCGGCCCAGAACAAAAAACAGGCTCCAGCTGCGTCCGTGCGCACGACGACGATGAGCGACGAGCCACGAGCGACGACGACGACGACGACGACTGCGGACCACACTCCTATGCAAATTCTTACGCGGACACCTACGCGGATCCCAGCGCGCACGGCAGCAGTGCCCGGAGCGCACTGGGGGGGGAGCGTTACGTCATAGGGGGGGAAGGGGGGGAGCGGGAGCCATGACGCCCGTCATGCCCCAAGCATTAAAGAAATGGTCTCTTGGTCCTCCCCCCTCGATGTGTCAGAGGGTTCTTTCTGGCCCCAGGTGGCTCCAAGAGGGCCCCAGAGCCTAAGAGGGCCTCCGAGATCGCTCAAGATATTCAAAACATGCGGCCAAGAGCCCTCAAGACCGCCCCGGAACGGCCCGAATTGCCCTCCGAGACTCCTAAGGAGGCCTCCCAGGAGACCCGTATCCGTCAAAACCATCATGTCGGTATAAATAGATTGCGCCTTCTCGCCCGCTCTCTCTCTCTCTCTCCCTTCCGACGTGCTCTTGGGGCCGCGGGATTGCTCCAAGATGGCCCAAAGAGCTCCACAAAAAGCCGATGTACGGGCCCAGACCAAACGGGAGGCGTACTTGAGTCGGGGGCGCGCAAACATGGATTAGCGATCCATGGATTTGGCGCGCGGCCGCTAAATCCATGGATCGGTGGAGGCGCCCTCCCCAAAATGCGGCCGGTGCCGCCTCGGTCGGCGGCAGAAATCCGCGATTTCCGAAGGAAACGGGACCCGTCGCTCATCCACGCCCCCTTGATCCATGCTTGCGATCGCCGGAGTACTTGAGCACTCCCGCTCTCCTGATCGGTGGCCTCGAGGACGGCCCCCGAGGCCTCCACGAGGGCCCGCGGGGGCTCCAAGATGGCTGGCCCCATGGCCCCCCGAGAGGCCTCCAGGACGCTCCCACAGCGCAAGATCGCAAAAGTCGTGACATTGACTCCTGTCGTCGTCGTCGTCGTCGTCGGCGTCGGCGTCGTCGTCGGCGTCGGCGTCGGCGTCGGCGTCGGCGTCGGCGTCGGCGTCGGCGTCGGCGTCGGCGTCGGCGTCGGCGTCGGCGTCGGCGTCGGCGTCGGCGTCGGCGTCGGCGTCGTCGTCGTCGTCGTCGTCGTCGTCGTCGTCGTCGTCGGCGTCGTCGTCGTCGCTGTCGTCGTCGTCGCCGTCGTCGTCGTCGTCGTCGTCGTCGTCGTCGTCGTTGTCGTGGTCGTCGTCGTCGGCGGCGGTCCCGGAAACGCACGACGTAATGCAAGCGCCGCAGACAACGACAGGCAAATACTCATTGAGGACAGCCACGAGGAGCCGCGAAGTGCATGCGCTACAGTGGAGGCTCGTCCCGCGGGGGGGGTCAGATTCGCATCGCCTCTGGGGGTCCTCCTCTCCCCCGCCAGTCCTTCTCAGGCGCGCTGGTCCTCCTCGGGTCCCCCTCCCCAAGTGGGCAGGAGTCCCAGGGGGGGAGGGGAATCAGATACACATCCGTCCCTCCCCCTCCCCTCCCCTCTCCCACGCCGGTCCTCCTCCGGTTCTCCTCCCCGGGGGGGGGGCCAGGGGGGAGTCCTTTTCCTCCTCCTTCTCCTCCTCAACCCCCTCCTCCTCCTCCTCCTCCTCCTCCACATTGTCCTCCTCCTCCTCCTCCTCCTCCTCCTCCTCCTCCTCCTCCTCTTCCTTATCTCCTCCTCCTCCTCCTCCTTCTCCTCCTCCTCCCCATCCTGGTCGTCGTCGATGTTTTTCAGGGTCGGCGGCACCGGCCGTCAGGCCTTCACAATAAATATATACAAATCTTCGGATGTCCCAGATTCCCAACCATGCTATGGTGCTGGATCCTCGTATTGAAAAGGAAGTCCCCGCGTCTCATTATCAGATTCTTCTTCTTCATCGTATGATTATTAGTAGCATGTTTAGCCTTATTATCATGATTCGTCTTCTTACTATTCTTATTATTACTATGATGAGTATGCTTAGTATTCATTGTAATACTACTATTTGTCTTATTATTATTGTTAGCGCCGAAGTTGTGAGGATGTCTCGAGCGGCGGCGCCCGAATTGTGAGGACGTTTCGAGCGGCGGCGCCCGAATTGTGAGGATGTCTCGAACGGCGGCGCCGGAGTTGTGAGGATGTCTCGAGCGGCGGAGCCGCAGTGGCCGACGCCCCTGACCCTCCTTCCTCTCCTGACGCTCTGACGCTCCTGACGTTCCTGACGCTCCTGACGCTCCTGACGCTCTTGACGCTCTGGTGCTCCTGACGCTCCTGACGCTCCAGGCGTCAGAGCGTCAGGAGCGTCAAGGGGCGCGCTGCGGGGGGCGCGCTGCGCTAGCTCTTTTGCGGGGGGCGTCATGGAGCACTTTTTGCAGAGGCGCGCTGCGCCAGCTCTCCGAAACTGGAACACAAGAGTCGGATCGGCCAGGAATCGAAGCTCCTAAGTTGGCCAAGCCTCTCAGGGGCAGCTGGCGAAAGGCCATGAAAGGCCTGGCCAAACATGGTGCTGGCATATCACTGACCCCTCCCGCGAACTTCACGCGACGCCCCATGACTTTCGAACCAGCAGGCCTTGAAGGCGATGTGATATCACTTCTTTTTTGCGCAAAGACAAGGCGCGGTGCAGTAGCTGCAGTGGTCAGGCTGATGGGACAACGTCGGGCCTACCCTCCAACGAAGTGCCACACAGAATCTAAGGCAAGGACAAGGAAGTCCGCCCACCTCTTTGGGTGACTAGTGTGTGAAATCGACGGGCAATCCGACTCATGCAATGCCCAGCTACCCTCGCCCATTTGACGTGTGGCCCCGATTGACAGATTTGCCACTGGCAACAAGGAGGGCTCCAGTATCCCCGAGTGCCCACTGAAAAATGACACAAATTGACATGACATCTCCGAGCCCAGAAATGGGAGATCTCGGGCGAAATTGATTGAACCACCTCAGGTCTGGACATCCCCGAAAACATAGTCCCAACGATGCCTCAGGCGAAAAAGACCAGGACCACGTGAGGTGAGGACATAAGACGTACATAAGACCGGAGTGGCAATGAGATCTCAAGCGAAACGAACAGTCCACGGCAACTGCGAGCCCAGAGCAGCGAGGAAACGGGATCTGATACCGGGCGGCAAAAGCATCGACCAATCCAGAATAGCGAGGATGCACCGGGCGAAGATTGCTCTGCGAGGATGTTTCAAGCCAAAAAAACTGGACCGCCTCATGACAGCGGCGAAGAAGCCCCAGCGAAATGGGCTGGACTATCTCTCGCACGGCAACTCGAAGCCCATAACTGCAGGGATGTCTCGAGACCGACTGGACCGCCTCACAGGCCGCATATCAGGGCCCAAATTACCGATGATGGCTTTGCCGAAACCGACCCAGGCAACTTCTCGCATGGGGTCTCCTAACTCAACAACACACCCGTGTTCGGGGCAAGAGAAGGTCAATCGCGGTTCCTTGTCCAACCCCATTTTTCCCCTTCGGGGATGGGGTCGTTGCTGCTCCTGGATGATATTTGCCACCTCGCCCAATGTACCGACCGCTAACCCGAGTCACTGCCACCCCTCTCGATTCAAACCAACAACAAATTGAAATACCCCCAGGCGGCTCCCCCATTGGAGCGTGGCCGCTTTTTTTGTGGGGCGATCTAGGCACTGGTGCGTGGGAAAACGTGGCGCTCGAGCGCAAAAGGGTTGGGGCTGCCATGATGTAGTCGGCTGTCCTCTTCAGGAATGTAGCCGGAACCTTACAATTATAGCCGGAGTGCAGTATCCCCAAACAGGGTTTTTAGACCCACTGCGGTTTCCAAGGTCGATTGCGTGCACGTCCAGTGCGGGCTGGCATGGCATGTTGAAACATGCCTCTCCTCCTCCTCCTCCTCCTTCTCCTCCTCCTGCTTCTCCTTCTCTTCTCTTCTCTTCCTCCTCCTCCTCCACCTCCTCTTCATCCCGAACGGCATCTCGGAGCCCAGAGTTGCGAGGATGTCTCCAGCGTAACGGGCTGGACCACCTCGCGCGCGGCATTTCGGACCCCAGAGTTGCGACGATGTCTCGGGCGAAACGAGCTGCGAGAAAGTCTCAGGCGAAACGGGCCGGACCACCTCGAGCGCGGCGTCTCAGAGCTCCGAGTTGCGGGGGCCTCCTGGGGCCTCCTGGGACCTCCTGGTGACCTCCTGGGGCTTCCTCCTGGGCCTCCTGTGGCCTCCTGGACCCCACCTGGGGCTTCCTGAAGCCTCTTGGGGCTCCCAGGGGGGGATATCTAACATGTGGCCGTCGGGCCCCCCCAAATGGGGGTGGGGGGGGGGCACAAGAGCAGGAAAAATCAACGAATCGACACCGGATGTGTATTAACTTGACACGTTCTGAGAGGGGCCTCCTGGGGCCTCCTGGGAGCCACCTGGGAATCTCCTGGGGACCCCTGGGGCCTGTCCTGGGCGTCCTGCGGCCTCCTGAAGCTCTCTGGGGCCTCCTGGGAGCCACATGTGGTCTTCTGGGCCCCCAGGCTGGACCACATCTTGCGCAGCATCTGAGAGCTCAGAGTTGCGAGAAAGTCTTCTGCGAAACAGGCCAGACCACCTTGCGCACGGCATCTCAGAGCTCAGAGTTGCGAGGACGTCTCAGGCGAGATGGGCTGGACCACCTCGCGCAGGGCACCTCGGACCCCAGAGTTGCGACGATTTCTCGAGCGAAACGTGCTGCGAGGAAGTCTCAGGCGAAACGGGCCGGACCACCTCGAGCGCGGCGTCTCAGAGCTGCGAGTTGCGGGGGCCTCCTGGGGCCTCCTGGGACCTCCTGGTGACCTCCTGGGGCTTCCTCCTGGGCCTCATGTGGCCTCCTGGACCCCACCTGGGGCTTCCTGAAGCCTCTTGGGGCTCCCAGGGGGGGATATCTAACATGTGGCCGTCGGGCCCCCCCAAAATGGGCGAGGGGGGCCACAAGAGCAGGAAAAATCAACGAATCGACACCGGATGTGTATTAACTGGACAAGTTCTGTTAGGGGGCCTCCTGGGGCCTCCTGGGAATCTCCTGCGGACCCCTGGGGCCTGTCCTGGGCGTCCTGCGACCTCCTGAAGCTCTCTGGGGCCTCCTGGGGCTCCCAGGGTCCCAGGGAGGATATGTAACATGTGGTCTTCTGGGCCCCCAGGCCGGACCACCTTGCGCACGGCATCTCAGAGCTCAGAGTTGCGAGGATGTCTCAGGCGAGATGGGCCGGACCACCTTGCGCAGGGCATCTCGGAGCCCAGAGTTGCGAGGATGTCTCCAGCGTAACGGGCTTGACCACCTCGCGCAGGGCATCTCGAGAAAAAGAGCCCCAGAGTTGCGAGGAATGTCTCAGCGAAACGGCTGCTGGCACCCCGCGCGCCGGCATCTCGGACCCCAGATGTTCGACGGAATTTCCTGGGCGAACGTGCTGCGAGGAGTTCTCAGGCGAAACGGCCGGACCACCTCGCGCAGGACTCTCATAGCTCAGATTTAGACACAATGTCTCAGGCGAAACGGCCCGGACCACACCTCGCGCACGGCGGACACGTGGCTTCCTCCTGGCCTCCTGTGGCCTCCTGGAGCCCACCTGGGGCTTCCTGAAGCCTCTTGGGGCTCCCAGGGGGGGATATCTAACATGTGGCCGTCGGGGCCCATCAAAATGGGAGGGGGGGCCACAAGAGCAGAAAAAATCAACGAATCGACACCGGATTTATATTAACTTGACAATTCGGAGAGGGGGGGGGCCTCTGTGGCCTCCTGGGGCCTCCTGGGAGCCTCCTGGGAATCTCCTGGGGACCCCTGGGGCCTGTCCTGGGCGTCCTGCGTCCTCCTGGAGCTTTCTTGGGCCTCCTGGGGCTCCCAGGGTCCCAGGGAGGATATGTAACATGTGGTCTTCTGGGCCCCCAGGCCGGACCACCTCTTGCGCGGCATCTGGGAGCTCAGAATTGCGAGGATGTCCTTTGTTGGTGCGAACTGACGGACCAACTTGCGCAACGGGCATCTCAGAGCTCAGAAAAAAAAAAAAAGAAAAAAAAAAAGGAAAAAAGGTTGCGGAGTGGAGGATTCTCAGCGAGACGGGCCGACCACCTCGCGAGGGCGATCTTCAGAGCTCAGAAGTTCGAGGATGTCTCAGGCGGGCTCCCAGGGTCGCAGGGAGGATATGTAACATGTGGTCTTCTGGGCCCCCAGGCTGGACCACCTCTTGCGCGGCATCTGGGAGCTCAGAGTTGCGAGAATGTCTTGTGCGAAACGGTCCCGACCACCTTGCGCACGGCATCTCAGAGCGCAGAGTTGCGAGGATGTCTCAGGCGAGACGGGCCGACCACCCCTCGCGCAGTGCATTCAGAGCTCGAAAATTCGAGGGTTGTACTCAAAGGGCAAAACGGGGCCGGACCACCTCTTCGCGCGGGCATCTCCGAGTTCAGAGTTTCGGTATGTTCTCATGGCGAAACAGGGCCGGACCACCTCGCGCAGGGCTCTCAGAGATTAGAGTTTCGAGGCTTCGACGTCCCTGACCACCTCTCGCACGGCACCTCGGGCTCAGAGTTTCGAGGATGTCTCAGCAAACGGCCCGGACCACCTCTCGCGCGGCGTCCTGGAGCGCAACTTTTCGAGGATGTCTCAGGCGAAACGGCCAATCCCGGCCAACTCAGAAACGAGAGTTGTGAGGATGTCTCAAGCGAAACGGCCCAGACCATCAAATTGTTGTGAGGATGTCTCTGCTCCGACTTCCCTCGGCCGGAGTTAGCTTTTATCACAACAGCACCCCGTTCAGCAAGCTGTTGAAGGAAAAAGCAGTCCCTGGGATAAGATCGAGAGGTCCGCGGGCGCATGTCTCGAAACAAACATATGGACGTCGGATGTCTGGGGATGGCGGGAGGCAAGGCGCGCAAGGCGGACGCTGAGGCGGCAAAATGGCGGAGACGGCGGCGGGGAGGCGGAGCCAGAGGCACAGCAGCGAAAGGCGAGAGGCGTGAGGAGGAAGGAGGGAAGAGGAGGCAGGCGGGAGGCAAAAGGAGGGATGTGGGAGAAATGAGAGAGGTTTCAGGGCACATCATCTCGTGCACAGCATCTCGAAGAACCCTGACGAAGAACCAGTCACGGGGACGAGATCGAGAGGTCCGCGGGCGCACGTCTCGAAACAAAAATCGTGACGTCGGATGTCTGCGGAGGGCGGAAGGCAGGGCGCGCATGGCGGCATCTCGGAGCTTCGCATTCTGAGGCTGGCTCGGGAGAAACGGGCTGGACCACCTCGCGTGCGGCATCTCGGAGCTCAGCATTGGAAGGATGCCCCAAGCGAAACGGGCCGTTCTACCTCTCGCTTCCCGTTAAGCCCTCTCATGCAACTCCATTCCTCATCCCTCTTCCTCCTCCTCCTCCTCCTCCTTCTCGTCCTCCTCCTCCTCCTGCCTGCTCCCTCCTCCTCCTCCTCCTCCTCCTCCTCCTCCTCCTCCTCCGGCACGTTTTGAAACGTCGCTACAAGGAATATAAGAATCCTTTTTGGGGAACCCTGTCTCGGAGCCCAGTGTTGCGAGGATGTCCCAGGTCGCATCTGGTCGACGAGTAAGCTGTCGGGTCGGCACTGTGAGAGGCTCCGCCGCCATGCTGTGAACTCAGAAGCAACTTTAAGAGGAAGCGGGGGAGGGCGCGGAAGCGGGGGGCCATGTCGTGATGGTTCCCTCGGTGATGATACCGAGAGGTACGCGGCGAACGTCTCAAAAGAATTAGCCTGGCGAAGGACCCAACATATGCAGTTGTGAATGCCGCAATTGTGCTGGGTGGTGGCGGACGCATGCGGGCGGTGCCACTGGGACCTTCGGTGGAGCTCCCTATGGGGCCACGAAGCGCTGTACTGGGTGGGTGAGAC